ATGCTGCCCGTCCTCGCCGAGTACCCTCCCCGCCATACTCCTTCTCGCCTGACAACCGTGACCATTGGCTCTGAGCTCGGTCAGCCGTCACTGCCTCTGTCTCCTTCTCTGTCTCCGTCTTCGTCGCGTCCGACCTCCTTGCCCATCCGCTCTCATCGCGCCCGTCCATCACAACTGCTGTCGGCAGTATCGCCGAGGCTCACTGTCGGCAAAGCTGCAGAGGCCGAGGCTGGCAGCTCTCGCTCTCGTGGTGGGCGAAAGCTTGCTCGGCCGGCATCGCCTGCGGTCGCTGCTCGCGCCATATCTGCTTCGCGAAACGCCCGCGGGCCTCGAATGACTGCTGGAAGCAAGTCAAAAGCTGGGCGAAGGAGGCCGATGAGTGCTGCGCCGCTGCGCCGCCGCAATCGCCCGTCTGCAGCAGCCAAGCCACCTTTGACCCCACCGCCGTCGCCGCTGCTGCCTCACGATCTTCTGCCGTACTCACCGGACTCGGCCAAAACGCTGCCACTCCCGCCTCAGACCGCACCGCTAGTTCGCAAAGTTGCGTCGGTGCTTGGCTCGGCCCGTGCTGGCTCGCGGCCCAGCTCGGCTGTCGCACGCCGGCGACCTGCCACCGCGCTTGGCCTCAGGGCTGGCCGCGATGCGCGGCTGCAGCTCGCGGCTGGCTCGCGGAGCGGACCGCCGGTCGACGTCGACATCGATGCATTCCTCGACCTTCATCGCCGAACTGCCAAGTCATCGCGGGCGGCGCGGCGGATCCAGCAGTGGTGGCGGGCCACTGTTCGCCGTCTCCAACTGGTAACCGCCATCAACGATCGCGTCGCCGCAACTGCAGCCTTCCTCCGCCCGGTCTTCTCGGCCTGGGTCCAGGCTGTTGTCTCGGAGCGGGCAAACCGGTTGCGGCTGATGTCCAAAGCCTTTCGCGCCCTCGAGTTTCAAGTCGTCTACAACCGGCAGCGGTACAAGTGCACCGAGGTCTTTCTCGCCATGCAGGCCTCGAATCCGGTGTTCAAGCTTGCTGGCGTCTCCATCGACTCGGGCTCGCGGGTCCACAGGGTCATTGTCGCCTTTCGCGCCATGATCCAGCTCCGGACCACTCGCAACGTCATCCAGCACTGGTACCAATGGGTCCAGATGCGTAAGCGCCGGGCTGCCGCCATCCAGCACGCCATGGTCCTCCTCCGCGACGCATACTCGGTCAACTTTGCCGGCCTTACCTTTGTCATGTGGTACCGCTACGCCCACATGCGCGCCGCCGAGCGCGCTGGCGCTCCGCACCCCACCTTTGCCGAGCCTATCCCCGAGTGGGACGCCTTTCTCGACCGCTACCACAAGCAGTCGGCTGCAGTCATGCACGCCCTCACTGCCGCGTCCTCACTCCATCTCCGCAGGGCCTTTTCCGCTTGGCACAGGCACACGGCCGCGGCCTCGGAGGCGCGCACCCGCCACGCCACAGCCGTCGCCTTCAACTCGCGCAATCTGTGGTCCGCCGTCTGGCCGTATTGGCGGGCCCACACCCTCGACTCGCGCGCGCGCCGCTGGAAACTCGGCCGCTGGTTCCACAAGCTCAAGGTCGAGATGCGCCGCCGCACCGCCGGAGACGCCCTAACCCATCGTCATGCCCTCCTCCTCAAGCACGTGGCGTGGAAGCGGCTCAAGGCATGGCTCCGCCACCGCAGGCTCGGACATCTCGCCGCCCGCGCCTTGATACTCGCCCCCACCGCCCCACGCGCTACCCTACTGTTTGCTGTGTACGCGCTGGGCGGGCCGCGTTTCGCGCCGCGCCTCACCCTCATCAAGGTCTTCCGCGCCTGGGCCGCTGCTGCCCGCCGCGTCGTCCTCTTCAATAAGTTTAAGGTTGCCCACGTGCTCGAGCGCCGTCGCTCGCTCACCGTCGCCTGCTTCTATGCCCTCTCGCCGCTTGGCGCCGATGCCGTCATGTTTCTCGACGAGCTAACTCGAACAGCAACCTCGCGCGACGCCGTTGTCACCATCTATACCCGCCTCCTCGCCGGCGAGCCGCCCGAGCCTCCGGCGCTCGCCGCCCGTATCGCCGCCGCTCCGCTGGCGGCCACAACGCCCGGCGCCGCCCCAGCAAACGTCATCAAGATCCTCCGCTGGCGCCGCGAGGTCATCGCTGACGCCGCGCTTGGCTCGGATCCCATTCTGCTGCGCAAGCTCGCCGTCCTTGCCGTCGCCGCGAACAGCCCGTCGGGACCGTCGCTAGCCCGCGAGCGAGTGCCGCCCCGCGACCACTGGGAGACCTACGCTTGGGCCGCGGACGTGGCAGGCATCGACAGCCTCGCTGCCCTCGAAGACGTCTGGGCAAATGCCGTTGCCTCCGACAACTTGGTTCTCGCTGCCCGCGCCCAACTTCACGCCCGCGACACCATGCTCCTCGCCGCGGCGCAAGTCCATCTCGCGTCCATGACGCTCGCCCAGGCTACGCCTTCCTCGGCCCGCTCGCCGTTTACCGCCTCATTGGCTACCCCGGTTATGGCCTCGTCGTTTTCGTTCTCCACGCAGCGGGCTGGCGACGCACTCGATCCGGTTCCGGCCATCGACGGCTTTGGCCTTGTCGCCACCTCCACCGCCCGTGATCGCCAGCGGGCGAGTGCCCAGCGCCGGGTCGCCATCCACAACGGGGCTGATGGCGGGGATGACGACGACGACGATGATCATTCGAGCATCTCGGACGCGCCGGAGGAAGACTTTGACACATGCGACTACATCTCGATGTACTTTGTCGAACCGCCGCGGACGCTGCAGGTCTATGACGCCGCGGAAGACGCGTCGCCGGGTTTTGCGGATGCGTTCAAGACTGCGCTGGTGGCCGCCCACGAGGTGGGCTACTCTCGCAGCGAGCCGCAGTCGACGCCGGTGCCGATTGTCCGCAGCGGGCGGCGGACCCGAGCACGCCACAGGCGCGACGCTGCCGCAGCCACCGCGACGGCGTCCTCGCTGCTCCCAGCACTCACGCCAGCGACAACTCCCATGCTTGCACTCCCATCGCGCACAGACCGCTCATCCTACCTTCATCAGCTCTTGGCAGAGACCGAAGCCGAGCTTGCTACGACGACTTTGGCGGCCCAGGGCTCCGGCGGGCAATGACCGTGTCGGCCAGACCAAAGGCTGCAGCCTCGACAGCTGTAAAGTAGCGATCGCGCTCCATTTCCGAGGCAAGGACCTCGGGCGTCTGGCCAGTAAACTCTGCATAGAGGTCGACAAGCTGCGCGCGGATGTCAACAATGTTGCGGGCCTGGATGGCAATGTCGGTCGCTTGCCCGCCGATGCCGGCCACGTGCGGCTGGTGGATCATGACCCGCGCGTTGGGAAGGACCGCCCGCGATCCAGACTCTCCACCTGCCAGCAGAAGCGATGCCATTGACGCAGCTTGGCCCATGCACACAGTGTGGACCGGAGCTTGGATGTAGGCCATGGTATCGAGGATGGACAAGCCGGAGGAGATGACTCCGCCGGGCGAGTTGATGTACAGCGAGATGGGCGCGGTCGTCGACTCGGCCTCGAGAAACAGCAGCGATGCCACAACTGTCGAAGCCATGGTATCCTCGATTGGCCCCGTCACCATCACAATCCGCTCCTTCAGCAGCCGAGAATAGATGTCGTACACTCTCCCATCCTTCTCCTCCACCGATGGCACCATCGTCGCCGTCCGCCGGCCAACGGCTCTTCCCCGCCCAGCCAGCCACCTGCTACTCGCTCCACTCCCCGTGCTCGCTCCCGCCGCTATCGCCGTCATCATTGACCGCAACATCTTTGTTTCCCCCCTTGCTCCACAAGACAAGTGTGTCTATGTTTACCCCACCTCGCACCTCGCCCTGCACAACGACCTGCGCATACCCACCACCGTTTGCCGACCACCCAACAGAGTCGAGTCGAGCGAGCACGGCCAGCCCCATCACACACACTCTCCACACACACACACACACTGATTGCAGCTACCAAGCCGATGAGCTCAAGATCATGGGCACTGGACATTTTGATCTACCCAGACAAAATCCCTGGCTGTACTGATGGACAATGGTCATGTTGGTCTTGGGGGGAGGGGGTGGGAGGGGGTGGGAGGGGGGGAAGCTCCGCTCGGGTCCGCCGTGACAGGCCGATGGAAACGAGTCGGTTCGGATGGGCGCCGTTGGCCCAGAGCGACGGACGGAGCGAGTCAGTGGGGAGGGCGGCAGTGAGGGGGAGGCGAGAGGAGAGGACAACTTGTCTCGCCCCCGTTGTCGACCATGTCGTACCCTATCCGCACGCAAACCGCGGGCGTGTACAACCCTCTCTCTCGTCGCACTGCAGCGGCTACAGCTGCTCGCCCTGCTGCCCGTACCAAGGCCCGCAAGTCCCGCTCAAAGGTGCCCTCGGAGCCGCCTCCGGACATTGTCCGAAACGCCACCACGGGCGCCAAGTACAAGACTGGCGCCCTTCTTGGCAAGGTAAGCTTCTTTCCCATCTTCATCCACTTATCTGCGTTCTCCACTGCATGCTCTACCCATTGGGCTTGTTCTAGCTCTCATAGCTCTTTGCTAGCCCCCATACCTGTCCCCTGTGCGCCTCGCCACGTCGTGAGCCGCCGTTGCGCGCGGCGGCGAAAATTTTGAATTTATGGCCTTTCGGCCGGCATTTTTGAAAATTTAACAAAATCGCAGCGAGGCGGTAGATAGGGATGCAAGGCGGGAAGGAGGCGCTGGTGCGGGTGCAAGCAGGGGGCAGAGGGAGCAGAGGAGCGCTTGCAGACAAAGAACTGACGACAGCTACTGCAACGTGTGGTTGGATGGCTGCGCGGGAGAGTAGGGCGGCTTTGCGCGCGTGTACAAGTTTCAGGACATGGCAACAGGCAAGGTGTACGCCGGCAAGGTGGTGGCCAAGTCATCCATTACCGGCGCACGGGCGCGTGCCAAGCTCAAGTCTGAGATCAAGCTCCACCGGTCGCTGGACCACGAGAACATTGTGAGCTTTGTTCAGTTTATGGAGGACTCCAAGTTTGTGTATATCCTGCTCGAGATCTGCACCAACGGCTCTTTCATGGAGCTGCTCAAGGCGCGGCGGCAGCTGACCGAGCCCGAGGTGGCGTACTACATGTGGCAGCTGCTCGAGGCTACCGAGTACATGCATGCACGCAACATCATCCACCGCGACCTCAAGCTCGGCAATCTGTTCATCGACGACAAGCTCCAGGTCAAGGTCGGAGACTTTGGCCTCGCCACCTCGGTCGAGCACAAGGGCGAGCGCAAGAAGACCATCTGCGGAACGCCCAACTACATTGCACCGGAGATTCTGGACTCGCGCAACAACGGGCACTCGTTTGAGGTCGACATCTGGTCGATTGGCGTCATTCTCTACACCATGATTATCGGCAAGCCGCCTTTCGAGACGTCCAAGCTCAAGACGACGTACAACCTCATCAAGACCAACACGTACTCGTTCCCGCCGGACAAGCCCATCTCAGAGGCGGCCCGGTCGCTCATTCGCTCCATGCTGCAGGCGCGGCCGTCGGCCCGCCCCACCATTGCCGAGATCAAGGCCCATCGGTTCTTCTCCGACAATCCGATCCCAGCCTCACTCCCGCCGACGGCGCTCAAGCGCGCCCCGCTCCATTCGGAGCTGTTTGGGTCGAGCGCCGATGGCGCTGCGCCGTCGACCTTGTCGCTGGCCAACAAGTACGCCGCCGACGGCGGTTCGTCGTCGGCAGCGGCCATTGCCGCCAAGTACGCGTCGCGCGCGCCGCTCGGCGAGCGCGCCTCCGCCCGCTCTGCTGCCGCCTCGTCCAACTACACTGAGGCGCTCAAGGCCAAGTATGGCGTGGGCTCGGGTGGATACGCGGCCAAGGCCAAGGCCAAGGCCAAGGCCAAGGCGAGCGCCACTGATGCCGCCGACGCGCGCCCATCGTCTGGCAGCGCAGGCACCACCAAGGCCGACGATGACGACTCGGCCGCGCTCCGCGCCATGCACGACAAGCTCACCAAGTCGTTTGCCCTGATGAACTCGGGCAAGGCGGCGGCGGCGGCAGCGGCACCCGACGGTGCCATTCCGTCCGAGCCGGCAAAGTGGGTCATCAAGTGGGTTGACTACTCGAACAAGTACGGGCTCGGCTACCAACTCTCCGACGGCACCATCGGCGTGTACTTTAACGACTCGACCAAGATTGTGCTCTCATCGAACGGGACCAACGTCGACTACGTCGAGCGGCTGCGGTCGTCGGCCGGCTCGCGCGACCTCGCCCAGTCTGTGACCATGGAAGAGTATCCTGAGTCGCTCAACAAGAAGATGACGCTCCTCACGTACTTTAAGAACTACCTGATGGAGCACCTCGAGCGCGCAGACAAGGACGGCGAGTCCTCTTCCTCCACCCGCGCCTCATCGCCGGGCATCTCGGCCATGAACGTGCCCGATGCCAAGGACGCGCCCACCGCCGGCATGGTCTATGTCAAAAAGTGGCTCCGCACCAAGCACGCCATCATCTTCCGCCTCTCCGACAAGACCGTCCAGGTCAACTTCTTTGACCACACCAAGATCATCCTCTCGTCCGAGGCCCAGATCGTGACTTACGTCGACAAGCAGCGCAACACCTCGACCCACACCCTTCAGGCTGTCATGGTCGAGCAGTCGCCGGACCTGGTGAACAGGCTGACGTACTGCCGCCAGATCCTCTCCAAGATCGCCTCTAAGGCCTCCTCCAAGCAGACTGCTGCATGAGATGAGGCTTTTTTTATCCTCTCAACAAACACCCCTGTCAACTGTATGCACGCCTTGGTCGTGCTGCCGAACTGCTGGTCGTCGGCGACGGGCTGGTCACTCCTGCATCAGCTCAGCGCAGCATCTGCACCACATGGACCGTCGCCTCATTGCCCACGCCAGCATTTGCCAGCGACTGATCATTGCCGAGCTGTTGGCCCTCGTAGATGATCCGCTGGACGTCGGCCACGGGTCCGCCAGCATCGGCCACGGCTTGCCTGAGCTCAGCCACGGTGGCGATTTTGGCCACCTGGACCGCCACCTCGGCTCCGGTCAGCTTCTTAACCCATACCTGCATCATCAGCTGCGCCTTTTCTGCGGCAAACTCGGCTTTGGACGGTGGCGGCGCGGACATGGCTGTGTTGTGGGGCGTACAGTGGCCAGTTGGCATTCACGAGTCAATGATGCTGTCCTTTTGGTGTGCGGCCGCTCGCAGCGGCATGTGTCGCAACCGGCGCTCGTGCTGTGGCTGTAGCGTCAGCGAGGAACGACGGGGACGATAACCACATGCTTCACTGCTGAGAGACGGTGCGGAAAAACGAGGCTACAGCCGATGATGGCGGCGGTGCTGTGGAAGCCACAGGCTCGGCGGCAGCTGCAGCGCCGCGCGACGAGTATTTTTCCAGCAGCGCCACAATCTCGGCCTGCTGGACCTGAAACTGCCGCAGCATGTCGACGTGGAGGTTCTGAATGTCGCGGTGGATCGAGTCGCGGAAGGCAGACAGCGACTCTTCGAGCATGTTGCGCACAAACTCGGTTTCAAAGCCTGATGCCGGCGCCGATGCCGGCGCCGGCGCCGACGCTAAAGGCGCTGCAGGTAGTGATGGGGTCGCTGTGTCGACGCTGCTGACGGGGGTCCGGGCAGCCGACCCGCTCCGCGGCCGAGACGGTGAGACCAGGCTCGAGCTTGGCGAGGTGTAGCCGTACGCCTCTGACGCCGGGACGTCCTCAGGTGCACGGGCCGGCGACGCGTACGACTGCAGCGCGTTCTGGATCTTGGATGCGGCCGCGGTGTAGGTGCTCGGCATGCCACGGGAGCCAGGAGCAGACGGAGAGCGCGGCGGCGAGTGAGGTGGAGACCGTGGTTCGACAGCGGCCCGGCTCGGCGGCAAGCCAGCGTGCTGCGGCGGCGAGTGTGAGGTCCGTGCTCCGCGCGGCGCCGCCGAGCCCTTGAGCGGCGAGAACATGTCCATGTTGGCATACGCCGAGTACGCCGACGTCCGCGCCGGCGACGCCCTCTCGCGACGGGCAGCCGGCGGCGGCGCAGAGGACGCAACCGGCGCGGTGGCAGGGCCGGCAGAGGCACCGCCGGCAGTCAGAGCCGCGCTGGCGCCGGCGCTAGCCCCGGGCCGCGCGCTGCTCCGCTTGCCCGACACCGTGTTCTCGACGTCAATGGCAGCAACAGAGCTCCCAGGATGGGCTTGGAGTGTGGTGGCCGGTGCCGACGAGCGGGCCTTGAGGTTGTAGACGAGGACAGAGCCGGCAGTCGTCCCGACGACGAGGGTAAAGCCGTCGTCGAGAAAGGCGATGCACGAGAGCGGGACCGGGGCGTGGATGACCTTGACGATCTTCTTCTCAAACACATCGTAGAACACAATGCGCTTATCATGTCCCACTGTGGTGCAGAGCAGGTGGTTGACCGGTGAGAAGGCAAGGCCCGATGCCGGTCCATCGTGCGCCGCCGGAAAGACGGCATGCTCCGCGCCCGAGCTCACGTTCCACAGTCGGAACGAGCCATCGTCATGCGTCGCCGCCAGCAGTGACTTTTTGAACGGCGAGAAGCCTATGTCAGTGATAGCAGCCGGGCTCGGCGGCTCGAGGCGGGCCATCTCGCGCGAGTGAACGAGCGAGTGGACAAGGAGGACACCGGCAGCATCGCCCGACACCACAGCCTTGTCTGACGGGGTGAACACAATACGGGTGACTTGCTGGGCATGGCCATCGTCAAAGCTCTTGACCATGCTTCTGGTCTTCAGGTCCCACACCTGGACCGACCGTGCCATGCCACCAGCCACCACATACCGCGAGCCGGCCGAGAAGGCAAGAGCGAGGACCGCGCGGACACCAGCGTGCCGAGCAGAGCCCCAGAGGCATGCGATAGCGCAATGGTGCCATCTCCACCACCAGACGCAATGAATTGACGCAATGAATTGGTCTACACACACACACACACACACACACACACACACACACATCCTCTTCCCTCTCGCTCCCATACCTCCTGTCCTTGTCCCTTGCTCCCACCTCGACCTCGCCGAAAAAGGTCGTGGAACGGCTGCCGCTGATCGCGCCAAAACGGAGGCCGCTGACGATCAAGGGTGGACGGCCTGGGCAGGGGGGGGGGGCAGGCGGGTGGGAGAGGGGGGGTGGGGGGATGGGAGAGGTCCACGTACTGTTGTGGTTCCACCGTGCGCAGTGGGTTGTGCTTGTCTTGTGTGGCTTCATCTCCACTTCAGGCGTGAGTGGGGCGTCAAGCTCCCATACGGCCACCGTGTCGGCGCAGGTGACGATGCGCATCCTCAGGGAGAGAGAGAGGCGTGTCCGGAGCTGGCGCCGAGGCCGCTCCACTCACCACTCGGCGCGCCACTTGGCAGACCGTCGCGTCGCGGGCACCACCATGGCCGACCAAGGCTGACAAGGCAGCAGATTCGGTATGGGAAAACGGTTTATCCGTGGCTGCTTACCAGTGGTGCTGGCCTGGCTTGGGCGCAAGCATAGGCTTGGGCTTGGGTGCCGGCTTGGGCAGGGGCTTGGGTGCCGGCTTGGGCGCGGTCAGCGGCTTGGGCAAGGGCTTGGGCAGGGGCTTGGGCGCGGTCTGCGACTTGGCGGCCGAGCGGAACGGGCCTGGGGCAACCGTATCACCGGCAAAGACCTGACCCGGGCGGGAGCCCGGGCTCGGGCTCGCGCGGGAGAGCGGGAGCGGGCGGAGGGGCGGCTTGGCGACAACGGCGGCGGCTGGCGCCGGCTCGACATAGTTGTAGGGGAAAACGCCGCGGCGCGACGAGCCTTCGATCTGGCCCAGCGCCCAACCGTCGTCGTGGATGACGTGGACAAGGATGGTTTCGCCCTTGCTAAAGTCGAGTTCGTCGTGGTTGGCGCCCGAGAACGCGTACTTGGCGCGGACCCGCTCGACAGCCGCCGACGCTGGTGGGAACATGGGCTTGGGCGGCTCCGAGAGTCGGCCCATTGTAGTAGTCGCCGGGAACGTGTCCAGCGGCATGGTGTCGGTGGTGTTGTACGCCGACGTGAACGAGTCGCCCGTGTAGACAAAGGCCGATGACGACGAGCGCCGACGGACGACAACCACGATCGCCACGGCGACGCAGAGAACGACGACGCCCGCGCCGATGGCGCCGTACATCCACACAGGCATGCCCGAGCTTGAGCTACCGCTCGTGCTAGCGCCCGAGACCTGGACGTTGTCGGCGTTGCCGGCTTCAGCTGCAAACGTGATCGACGTCGGCTCGTTCGACCGGATAGTGACGTAGTACGTCGAACGCGAGGCGGCGTCGGCCAAGACAACCGACTGCCGCTCACCGGCCTGTCCGTTGGCGGCGAGCCGGTCCGACGTCGACGGCGAGTAGCCGACAACCAGCTCCAGCACCGCACGCGTCGATGCAGGCGTTGCCGACAGTGTCACAGCCGACCCGCCGACCTGGAGCAGCCCGCGCCGCACCGATCCAGTCGGCACGCTTAGCACGGCGAAGAAAGGCGTCGACGGCGTCGCCGTGCCGTCGCGGCTGAGCCCGGCCGCCGTCCACGTCATCCTCTCGATCGTTGCCGCCACACACGCGGTTGACGACGGGTTCGGCACTTGGCCAAAGCCGCAGGTCACCGTTGACGGAGTGGGCGCCGGGGTGGGCGCCGGAGTCGGGCCTGGCGTGGGCGCCGGAGTCGGGCCTGGAGTCGGAGCCGGGGTCGGGGCAGGGGTGGGAGCCGGGGTCGGGCCTGGGGTCGGGGCCGGGGTCGGGGCAGGGGTCGGAGCCGGGGTCGGAGCCGGAGTCGGGCCTGGGGTCGGGGCCGGAGTCGGGCCTGGGGTCGGGGCCGGAGTCGGAGTCGGGGCAGGGGTCGGGGCCGGAGTCGGGGCCGGAGTCGGAGCCGGGGTCGGAGCCGGAGTCGGAGCCGGAGTCGGAGCCGGAGTCGGGGCCGGAGTCGGGGCCGGAGTCGGGGCCGGAGTCGGGGCCGGAGTCGGGGCCGGAGTCGGAGCCGGAGTCGGGGCCGGAGTCGGGGCCGGAGTCGGGGCCGGAGTCGGGGCTGGAGTCGGAGCCGGAGTGGGGGCCGAGCATCCGCCGTATGCGTTCGGTGCGCCACGGGGCGGAGCTGGCGGGGCAGGCACAAGCGGCGGCGGGGCAGGGACCGGCGCCGGGGGCGGGACGGAGCGGTAGTCGGGCGTCTCAGAGGTGCCCGAGACCGAGCAGGTGGTCAAGGTCGACGAGGTGCCGCCAGGCAGCGAAACGTCGATGGTGAGGTCGGCGGCCGGGTAGCCGAGCAGCATGTTCTCGGCAGTCCGCTCCTCGTACGGGTAGAGCTTGACATAGATCTTGCCAGCGCCCGAGTCGACAAACCACATGCCATTGCCGCGGGTCGACCAGCTCGACGAGAACGGAGCGGCGTCCATGGCGGCCAGCGAGGATGCTGGAGTTGTTGTCGTCTTGTAGTTGTACTGCAGCGACGAGATGGTGGTGCCGGGCGGGAAGCAGAAGGCGAGGCGGATGTAGTTGTACTCGCCGGCAGCCTTGTCGAACCAGAGGTCGGCGTGCTGGAAGGTGGTGTGGACCCGGGTCGGCGGCCCCGAGTTGAACTGGACGTGATAGGCCTTGCGGGTGATGACGGTCGCGCCAAAGCCGCGCGGGTTGTCGCCAGCGGAGAGCGGGCACGACTCGCCCGAGCCGCAGAGGTGGAACGGCGCAGAGGTCTTGTCGTCGCGGATGAGGGTGAGTCCGGTTGTCTGGCCAAGCCAGTTGGTTACACCAGTCGTTGAGACCCGGAGCCACTTAAAGTGGTCCGGGCAAACGTGGGCCTCCCACGCCGGCATGGAGACGCACGACGAGGTGACGAGGAACGGGTTGTCGGCGACGACAACAGGGATGTTGTCGCCGACTGGTGGGCGGCCGGTAACCGAGCCGTCGAGATCACGGAAGACAAGGTTAAAGTCACCGTCGTGGACGTGTTCGGCAAGATGGACCATGCGATCGCCGCCCACCATGAGCTGAACGTCGTGGGCAAAGTTGGACGGCGTGAGCGAGAATTGGTCCTGGCGAAGCATGGAGATGGCTGCCGACGAGCGCTGCGAGTTGGGCCTAAAGTTGTAGAACCGCGCGTTTTCGACACCATTCGGCCCGTCGTAGTAGTCCCAGCCCGAGATGAGATGGTCAGCATCCCACGGCTTGGGCAGAGTCCGGCCGTCAAACGATGAGACCGGAGTGTACTGCTTGGGCGTACCCATGTTTCCGGTCTCACCGATGTAGATCGAATTGCGGACAGCGCAGAGGCCGCCGTTGGTGGCAAAGGTGGTGCCAATGGCAGCGTCCGCAAAGAAGCTCCCGTGGAACTCCATGTGCGTGCCGCGAGTCCAGATGCACCGGTCGCCGGCGCGGTAGAGAACAAGGCCGTTCATGACCGCAACCACCGGGTCGCCCGAGCTGTCATCGGTCGTCCGCGGCCGCCAGTTGTAGCCCTCGGTCCCGGTGTTGACCGCTGCACCGTCGTCGATCATCAGCGCCCGCGATCCGCACGAGTGCGCACGGTTGTGGTCAAACTGTCCGAGGCGGGTAAACCGCGGCCAGATGTTGGCGTCGAACGACGGGCCGAGCGGGTGCTCGGGCATGGCAAACCAGAGGCAGTGGCGGTCGGCTCCCACCGCCGCGTTGCCCACAATCACGTTGTTAGGGTTGGTGATCCAGATGAGCGTCGCATCCTCGTCCGAGTCGAGCAACAGCTCGCCAGGCGCGGCCTCGATGGCGGTCACCACCAGGTTGTGCAGCAGCTGATTGCCGGTCTCGATGCCATCCTCCAGGAAGAGCGAGTGACCCTTGGTGTGGTAAAGCACATTGCGCTCGACAAGCAGGTTGTGGGTGGCGTGGATAGTGATCGACCGCTGGAAGTTGTGGTGGATACCGCAGTCCTTGACGTACGCCTGGCCCGCCGCGTCGCCCACCATATGAAAGTGAATCGGGTACCGGCCCATCACGCCGGCCTGTCCGGCCTTGGTCACCTCGACGCCCTCAATCTTGACCTCGGTAAAGCCCGCAAGTGCCATGACGTGCGCACCAAAGGCCTGCGCATCTGAGTCACCCGCGCCGCGGATCAGGATGTTGCGGGTGAGGTGTCCCACCTCGGTCCGCAGGTCCATCCCGTGCTCGATCGCTGCGTAGTGCATGTAGGTAAGCGCAGGCGTGAACGTGACCGTGTTGCCTGCAACCGCAGTGATGGTTACCTCCTCGGTCTGCTCCCAGTCGTAGTCGGACGACGCAATGATGATCTCGTCGCCGACCGCCCACGCCACAGACTCTTTGAGCGTGATGCTAGTCGCGCCGACGTTGGCCGTCGCCGCCATCTGGGTCCAAGTCGGCCCGGCCACCTCACCGTGCAGGTTGAGCGCGCCGCCAGAGAGGACGCCGAGGACCTTGACTCCAACTCCGTCCGGGTTGGCCGCCGAGCTCGACCCATGCAGCTCAATCATCGCCTTGGACGTGTACGGGCAGCACTCGGAACCAACGGTCAGCTTGCCGCCGCTTCGGATCTGGTGGCGGTAGAGGGGGAGGGAGCATGAGTGTATGAGTGAGGAAACAGCGCGAGGAGGAGAGGGGACACCACAGCGAAAAAAAATGATGTGACGGAACACACCTTTCAATGGGAGGCCCGAAAAAAGGAGTTGTTTGCCGCACGCGTGCGACCCGACACAGCAACACCGAGAGAGGGGAGGAGGGGGGGGGGGGGGGACGTACAGTGACACCATAGGAGTGGAGCTCAACAGATGACATAGCCATGTCAAACACAACCTCGCCATCAATGTAGACGTGCGAGTAGAGCGGAGAAGCAGCCAGGTCGAACAGGAGACGCTGTCCGGCACCAACCACCACCTGCTGGCCACCGGAAGCCGAAACTGCTGTCGACCATCGGACGAGGCTTCCGTCCTCATGCGGGCAAGCCGCATGGCCTTCCTTCACAAGGAGCACAAAGAGCAAACCCAGTACGCAAAGCAGCGTAGAGTGCTTGGTTGCGGTCGTCGTCATGTTGCTAACAATGAGACGAGAATGCTCATCTCTCCCCTCTCTCCCTTCCGGTGCCCGCTTCTGCTGCCAACTTTTGGCAAGGAAAGCAGCCTCACCTTTGTGGCAGCATGCGTGTTGCATGACAAGGGACGTGCAATTGCTGCCCTGCCGCTGTCGCTGCTGGCGGATACGGACAAGCGATCTTAGTTAATGGCAGTGATGGTTGGTGCTCGAGAGTTGAACATTACGGTATCACTGAGTACGGCTATGATCGTGGTCGCAATGACGATCAACTCGACGACCATGTTGGCTATGGTGACCTGCAAACGGTGATTGACGGGCTGGCCTGGTCAACGTCGCCGGTCTGGGCGATCATCCTTGCAATCACTGCACATTGTTACAAGCAGTTCAGCCTTGCATTGTATCGCCACTTGTTGGGCCTTCCTACCGTGACCGTGGTCTTCATCAATGAGTACATACGAGGTCTAGACGAGGAAGCTGCGTGCGGAAGCTGCGCGAGGACGACGCTCCCGGGTAGTACTACGACCAAAAGACGCCCGAGACCATACATGCGCCTAAACATGTTGATGAGAGCACAGCATGGTGGCAATCGGCGCCCAGTACAGTTTCACTCACCAGCATCGATGGCTTGCGCAGAGGGACCGTTCAGTCGCGACGCGACGACCGGACGGAGCGACGACCGGACGGAGCGACGACGAGGTCTTCAGAGTCTCTCGCGTCGAAACACACGACTCGAGCAAGGAAGACAGAAGGATGTCTGGCGAGTTGGAGGTGGTGCAGCTAGAGTGTGAGCTGTTTCCAGAGCGAGTGGTGTCGGCTGTGCGGTTTGTAGAGGTGACCAATGCCGCCAGCATCCGCAAGGAGGCCATGAGCGGCAGTCTCGGTCAGCTGGCCGTCCTAGATGGAAGCCTTGTCATTGGTCCGACACAGCTGGCCATTGCTACCATGCGTGCACTGCTTGCAGACGCTTCAAACTCGCTCATCACACACACCGTCCACTCGGAGATCATCTACGGGCTCTCACCATCGTCCAGCGTACGCTCATCACCAGTCCACCACCTCTCGCCCTCTCCCCCACCACCACCACCCCATACACACACACGAGCGATACTCACACCAACACCATGATGCGATACCTGGGCGTATAGATCTCGGCGGCGTTCAAGAACCATGGTGTGTCGAAAAAGTCCAAGTCGTTGGTCCTTGTTTGGGTTGACGGCGACGCAGAGGCGATGAAGGAGGTGTGTGGCAAGGTGGCGGGCACGATGGTCCCTGTGGGTGCTGACGAGCATGATTGGATGCAGGTGGCGGATATGGCGGCAGTGGCTCGGGTTTATGACATCGGTGACTCGCTCGATGCTCATACATCACACGACGAGATCCTCCGCTTGGTGCTGGAGAAGATGGCGCTGCGCGACGCATGATAGTGTGCACGCTGCGACGACGAGTCAGACATGCAGGAGAGGCCAGGCCAGAAGCTATGGATGTGACTCTGTAATGAAAGGACGGCTACGCTACGATGACGAGTCCAATCTACTTGAGGATGATGACGTGGAGCTCGAGGTGGACGACGACGACGACGACGACGACGATGACAGGGCCGAGGTCGAGGTTGACGTTGCTGTGGATGAGGCTGTGGCGACCGACGAAGCCGACGCCCATCCCACAGTGGCGGCGTCGTCAAAGCCGCCGCCGATGAGCGCGGTGTGGGCCTCGGCGTCAGCAGCAGCATCGGCCTTGGACGAGGCCTTTCGGTGTGCCAGCGAGCGACAGCGACGAGGGCCACGCCAACGGCGGTAAAGGCGAGGAGGCAGATGAGAAAGGCGTAGCGGCCGACAACGCTTGTGCTGAGCGGCGGCGACGGAAATAGGCCAAAGGCGTCGAGCTCGCTGTTGGGCACACACACTGACGAGCCCGAGCATCCGTAGCCGGGCAGGCACTGTGAGTCTGTGGCACACCGGGTGAGGCAGATCGACTCGATGCTGTCGCAGACGTACGGGGCGCAGGAGACGGGTGCGCCGGTGGTGCACACACCGCTGACGCAAGTGCCCTGCAGGGCGTGCGTCAAGTTCATGCACGACGAGCACGCGCCGGGCGTAAACTTGCAGCTGACACAGCAGCCCGAGTCAGAGATGAGGCCGCCCGGGTCACACATCTCCAGGTTCGTCGAGTCGATCACGCCGTCGCCGCAGGTCGGCAGCGTGCAGTTGAGCCGACATGTGTTAGGCAGGCTGTCCGAGTTACCGGTCCCGAGGTCGCACGCCTCGACGCCTGCATGGACAAAGCCGTCGCCACAGCGCGGGAGCCTGCAGTTGGCGAGGCAGCCGTCGGTGTTGATGGCGTTTCCGTCGTCGCACTCTTCGGGCGAGCCGGGGTCGGAGCGGAAGATGCCATCGCCACATACCGCCAGGACGCAGGTCGAAAGGCAGCCATCGGCATCGTTGGTGTTGCCGTCGTCGCACGCCTCGATGCCGGTGCGAACAAAGCCGTCGCCGCAGCGGGCGATCTTGCAGGTGGGGAGGCAGGCGCCGCCCTCGGCGTTGGCGGCGCCAGCGTCGCACTCTTCGCCAATTACCGCCTGCACAATGCCGTCACCGCAGCGGGCCAGATCGCAGCTGTTGGTGCAGTAGTCGGTGTTGTTGAAGTTACCGTCGTCGCACTCTTCCCAGAAGCACCGCTCCCCGTTCGGACCCTCAAAGTCGCACGTCGCCTGGCACCCGGTCGGCGGAACGGGGCAGTAGCCTGGGAACTCTGACCGCACCGTATCCACGCACGACGGGCCCCAGGTGGTGGCACATGTCGGCTGTGCCGCTGTCACCCGATCGTACACTGTCTCGTTGGTGCACTGCACCGTCGAAGGCGGTGACGCGCAGCAGGGCTTTGGCTGTAGAGGTGGGAGAGGTAGTCGCCAGGATAGGACCATCATCACCCATGACCCCGGTTGGAGCACAACGTGGAAACAACAGGTATATGATCGTGACCATCATTGAAACCATCACCATCACCACCATGACACGATCGTTGCCACAATCACCACCGCCATCACCATCACAGCCACCATCACCATCACCACCACCAGCATCATCATGAGTTCATGCCTACACCACCAACACCTTCCCCACTTCCTCCCCCCCCCCCCTCTCTCTCCTCCCCCTCCCTCTCGCAACCCGTACCCCAGCAGCTTCGGAACTCGGGCTGAACAGAAGCAGGCCGAGGAGGACGAGGAGGAGGACCGCCGTCCTGGGCTCAGGCATGAGCATGCACAGAGGTATAGAGACAACAAGTATGTCTATGTGTAGAAGAGAGGTTACACTTGTTCCCCGTCTTGTTGTGCGCTCTCTTGACCCCTCAGTCTCGTCTGCTGCACTCCTCGAGTGAGACACTTGTTACCCCCCCCCACCTTCCCCTCCAGACTCAGGCCACGGCCTCGCCTCGCCAGCCAACCTGCTGCTGCCGCCTCTCCCCAACAAGCTTGGCTGATATGGGCGGCACATTGACCTCTTGCCAGCAGCCCCCAATGCATGATGTACAACCCATGGAGAAGGTGCAACATGTCGTAATCTGTATCAGTCACACATTCTCTCAGTTCTACTTGTTCATCATCCCCATGGCAGAGCATGTGAATGAGGAGCTGCTCTCGCGGGGCAGGCGCGGCGAATCCGTCAAGTTGATGCGGTCGACCGACCAAATCCAACCTTCCAAGGCTATTCCAATTCCATGTCAGCAAGCAGATTGCAGTAAGCAGGACTGGGCGGGAGGGGGAAAGGAATAGAGATCCTGCAGTGAGTGTATTGTGCAGAGATACAACAAATAACAAAGATTGAGAAGCTTTGGTGACAGTCGTCTGCTTCAACGCGCATAGTTGATGCGATGGCCAGCGAGGCAGGCGGGCCGGGCCACTGACGGTAGCCTCAGCCGAGCTCCAACGATTAAATGATGTCAAAAACATTGAACACGAAAAAGAGCACGGGAGGGGGAGGGGGGGGAGGTGGTGACGAATGAACGAATGAACGAGTAATGGACAAATTGAGCAAGACTTCACCTTGGCACGGCGGAAGGGCGCCAAGTTCGACACCAGGCGAAGGGACACAAGAGAGTCTACTTGGTTTGTGATCTTGTTCTGCAACACACTACATCACGTCCAACACCGCCACCACAGGTACGAATAACTTCATCTTGGTCTACACAATGCCCATTGTCTCCCCCCCTTGCCATTACACCCCCCCCCACCTTTTCCTTGTGGCTTGCCTTGGCGCCGTCGCCCACCTCCCCCTCCCCGCGTCAGGCAGTGCGCCAAACTTTGTGGCCCAATGACCACTCCCACGCCACACTATGCCCATCACCATCGAGCTCGTATGGAGCGACCAAGAGCTTCGCGAGAGCAGCAAGTCGCAGCCTGTAGTAGAGAAGGTAGTGGCACATGGTGCTGTGTGTAGAGGACGATGAAGAAGCTGGCATACACGCAGTGTGCGAGGCCGGAAGGTGTGGTGCGGGTGAGCCGCGCGCGCGGGATGTGGAGAGCGCCGAACGAAAATTTTGAATTTTGGCCGAGTCGACCAAAAATGGCGCAAAAACTCATGAGAGAGAGAGGCTCACCAACAATGGCTGCGGTCTGTGTGGGTGTGGGGCGATGGCGGTAGAAGCGGAATGACGACAACGACGCAGGTGAAGAAGAAGAAGAAGGGGCGGAAGGAGGTGCTGAAAGGCGCGTGGACGCCGCAGGAGGACGAGCTGGTGCGGCTGCTAGTGGAGAAGCATGGTCCCGTGAAGTGGACCATGATTGCTGAGCACCTGCCCGGACGGATCGGGAAGCAGTGCCGTGAGCGGTGGCACAACCATATCAACCCGGCGATCTACAAGGGCCCGTGGACGGTCATCGAGGACACGGTCATTCTCTCGGCCCACTCGCGGATGGGCAACCGGTGGGCGGAGATTGCCAAGCTCCTGCCCGGGCGGACGGACAACGCCATTAAGAACCACTGGAACTCGTCGCTCAAGCGCAAGATTCAGGGCGGGGCCTCGGGCCCGTCGACGTCGGCGTCGGGAGCGTCCAAGGCTGCGGCGGCGCGGAAGAAGAGCTCGGCCAGCCGAAGCAAGGCCAAAGCGTCGCGCAAGGCGGCCAAGTCTGCGTCGCAATCAAAGTCGGCATCGCCGCCGGCGGTGACAGCGCCGACTGTGCCCGGCGCCGCCGCCGGACCGGCAACGACAACGCGGGTGGCGGCCGAGCTTGCGCGCGAGGCCAAGGCCAGCGGCAAGGAGCGGTCGGCGTCGCCGGCGGCCGGTGACAAGGACGAAGGCGAGGAGTCTGCGTCGTCACTTATTTCGGACGACCTCAATCTGTTTGACCTCTTCTCGCCCATCAAAGGCCACATTCCGTCAGGCGAGATGAGCGAGCCGATGACGGCCAAGCTTGCGGCGTCGACGATGACGCTTGCGCAGGCGCATCGGGTGTACAAGATGAGCAGCGCAGCGCGGCTCGACAGCCCGCTGGCGCCGGCTGCTGCAGAGAGCAAGCGCCCGCTGCGGACAGAGCTCTTCTCGCCGCCGTCGGGTCCGGTGTACCGGACCGGTTCGCGACCTTCGGCGTCGCGGGTGGTGGGTACAAGCGCGCCGATGCCGGTGTCGTCTTCAAGAAGCTCGGGAGCGTCGCGGGCTGGGCCGAGCGGGTCGGACCCGCGGCGTGCCGGGCGGGCGAACATGCTGCTGTCGCCACCGCCATCGCTCTTTTCGACCACCATGGGCTCGCCACCACTGGGACGGGTGGCGCTGCGGTCTGCCACCCAGACGCCGATTGCGCCGATCCCTATCAATCCGTCGTCGTCGCCGGCGCCTGCGCTTGCCGAGCCCGACGACGGCGTCCCGTTCTCGCCGTCGCAGTTTGACAGCCCGCCGCTGATGCTCCGCGGGCTGCGGCCGAGCGCGCGGCGGCCGCGTGCAGCGGCGCGGGTGACCCGCGCGGCGGCAGCGGCGGCGTCGAGTGCCCCGACATCGCTCGCGTCGGTGCCATCGCCTTCAAAGCGCATGGCGCTCGCGTCACCGTCACTGGAATCGAGCGGTGGCGCGTTTTCGGTCATGGAGCGCGCCTCGTCGCGCTCGTCGTCGGCAGCGAGCTCTGTTTCGCCGCCGTCATCCCGGATGCTCCTTCCGCCGTCGACACCTTCGACAGAAGGCTCAGTCTCGTGCGAGCCGACGCCGTCGCGGCGCATCTCGATCCGCCGGAGCAAGGAGCGGCAGATGCCGACGGTCTCGACCAAGGCTGCTATTCTGGCACCGGTCTATGAAACGCTTCCGGGTACGCTGACGACCTCGCAGCAGCTCTCGTCCATCGCTGCCATGAAGGAGCGATCGACATCGTCGCGCAAGCGCCGCCAGCGGTCGCCGGACCACGGCTCGCCGACGCGGTTTTCGCCGAGCTACTCGCCGTCGGGCTCGCGGACCCGTAAGCGGCGCAAGCCAATGTGGAGCTCGCCGCCGATGCCGCTCTCACTTGTTGACCCGCCGCAGGTTCTCGACGCCTCGATCACGCTCTCGCCGTCGCGAGTCTTCTACCTCGCGCACGACGATCCGCCACTGGCGCGGACGCAGGACGAGCTTCAGCGCGAGCGGCAGCACTTTCTGAAGGCGCAGGCCATGTCGCCAGCGTCGGACAAGAGCAGCTCGTCAGGCGGTGGCGGGTCGCCCGCATCGGGCTCCAGCTCGAGCGACGCCTGGCCGGCCTCGTTGTATCCCTCGCTGATCGTCTCGTCGTGAGCCGTGGCGATGAATAATGAACACATCCTTGACCTTTTACAATTGCCACAGCGCGCTAGCTGGACGCGGTGGCTGCCGTGGAGGAGGCGGCGGCGGCACGGAGTGGCCGCGCGAGGCCAGCCGTCCAGAACCGGAGAACAAGAAGATCCGAGTCGGAGAGATGGAGGGCGGTGAGGAAGGCCTTGACCTTGGCGTCGTCATTGAGGGTGTGGAGCTTGGCAAACTTAAAGAAAGCCTTGGCCTTGTTGTGCCACTCGATCTTGAGTGCGTGGACGTAGTCGGCGACAAGGGCGCGGTCGAGGGTTGTGGCGGCAAAGAAGAGCTTGGCACCGAGGGTGGTCTCGCGGTACGAGCCGACGATGCACACGCGCTGGCCAGCGAGGAGGGTGCGGAGCTCGGCAGTGTTGGCCGGCGGCGCACCGCTGCGGCTCCTGGCCCCGCCGCCGCCAGTTCGACCCGGCGCAAGCATGTCAACGAGGACAAAGGCCGAGGCGTCGACGTGCTTGGGAATGCGGACTCGCGACGGGATGCCAAGCAAATTGCACCGCCAGGTGTCTGCGTAGGTATCGGAGGAGAGGCTCGAGACGCATGCCGGTGGAAGAAGGGTAGCGAGGAGGTCGAGGACGGCCGAGACGAGCCAGGGCGAGCCGCCGCGGACTACAACCTGGTTGCCGATGATGAGGTGGAAGAAGACGCAGGCGAGGCCTTCAACGTCGACAAGTGCGGCAAGATCTGCGAGCTCGAGCGAAATTGATGCGCTTCGCTCCGTATCTGAGCTCGAGGTCGACGAGAGGCTGGCCTGCGAGAGCGAGGGCGAAGCCGGGGCTGGAGCGACCGGCAGAGCACCCTCGATGCGGCGCTGGAAAAGACGGCGGCCAAACGACTGGATGATCCAGGCATGCTGGGCGTGGAGAAAGGGGAAGAGCGAGTCCATGCCGCCGACAAGCTCGGCGAGCGAGCGCTGGACGACAGCCATGCGCTGGCGGGCAAAGCGCGGGCCTAGCTGGCGCGACGCGCCCTCGAGGTTGTACACTAGCTTTGACTTGGCTTTGAGGCCACAAACGATGGCAGCAAAGTGCTGGGTGACGACGTCCCAGCAGGCGACGAGATGGACCTCATCCGGGACGACGAGGACCAGCGAGTAGAGGCGGCAGCCGCCGCGTGCCTTGGCGTCAGAAATCTTGAACATGTGCGCAAGAGCGTAGCCCATGACCGGGTCACCAAACACGATAGGGCCGTCCATGCCCGGGCACTGCTCGTGGGTGAGCGAGCGAAGTGCGATCTCTTGCAGCCATTTGTAGTCGGCCTGCTGCGGCGACGCCGTGGACGCGTAGTACACCTGCGCGGCCTCGTCGTACGAGACAAGAAAGGCATCCGGAGGGATAGAGGCGCACGAGGCGCAGGCTGCTGACATAGACCCGCTTCCACCAGCTCCAGCATCAGTTGCGGAGCGTGGCGAGCGAGCCGGCGACGAGCGAGTACGCGGCGATGACAACGACGATGCTGACATCGATGACAACGGTCGACCAGGAGAAGCTGGGCCCGAAAGCGATGATGATCCATGTTGAGCAGTAGGCTTTCGAGGAGAAACACCCGGAGAGGAAGAGATGGAAGCAGCCGTAGCAGGAAGAGGACCACCCTGAGCAAGAGCAGCATCTTGGATAGCAAGGTGGAGAGCGCTCAGCTCGTCCGACTCGACCGACTGAGTACAGAACACCACCCTTGGACCATGCTTCTCACAAAAGGTAGTGAGACAGAGGACCGCATTCATCCCTGCCTTGCTCCCTCCAGAACTGCTTCCGAGTAAAGTGCCCGTCTTGCCAAGGACGGGCTTTGGCCCGTGCCCAGTGGCACGCCAGGAGTTGACCTCTGTGCGATCGATGGCCCACCTCTCCCGCACACGCCGTACCAATTGTGCTGCCCTTTGGGCCACATCGCCCCACGTATCCCGAGAGGGGAGGAGGGGGGAGTAAGCCTTGCTCTGGCTCTGATCCTACACCCCCCCCTTGTTCCAGCCGAGTCGACGCGATCGGTGGTATGGTTGGTCAAATGTGGGGACACACCCTGTGTGACCCTTTGGCGAGAGGTGGGGCATCTTGGGATCAATGCCAGCACCGATCATTGTTGTCCAGAGCCAGCAAGTGAGCCACTTGCTGATGATCCCTGGCTTCATCAAGGTCGACCCAGTAGGGGTTGATGGCTATGCAGTGGCATGGCGGACGACCTGCTCCATTTACACAATTCGCTCGATCCACGCGGGGAACGAGATGGAAGCCACTTGCACAGCGGACCGTACACCGCTTCTGCAGCCCAAGTAGTCTCATCATCAACCCAATGCAGCAACTCGCTCTTTCTTGCCGATCCCGAGCTCCGAGGCTTGAAGCCCCAGGCCCGAGGCCCGAGAGCTGCGGAGGAATACGATTTGATTTCGTTTTTCGCTGGAAGAGCCACCGGCAGCCAGCTGACCCACACTGCCCAACACGACGACGACGACGACCACCGGCACCACCCCTACCACAGCACCCTTCTCTCCCTTGCTCCACCTCTGTCATGTCCCATTTTATTTAGCTGACAAAGCGGCTTCTCGTTTGACCGAGAGGGGAGGAGGGGGGAGTAAGCCTTGCTCTGGCTCTGATCCTACCACCCCCCCCTTGTTCCAGCCGAGTCGACGCGATCGGTGGTATGGTTGGTCAAATGTGGGGACACACCCTGTGTGACCCTTTGGCGAGAGGTGGGGCGGGGCATCTTGGGATCAATGCCAGCACCGATCATTGTTGTCCAGAGCCAGCAAGTGAGCCACTTGCTGATGATCCCTGGCTTCATCAAGGTCGACCCAGTAGGGGTTGATGGCTATGCAGTGGCATGGCGGACGACCTGCTCCATTTACACAATTCGCTCGATCCACGCGGGGAACGAGATGGAAGCCACTTGCACAGCGGACCGTACACCGCTTCTGCAGCCCAAGTAGTCTCATCATCAACCCAATGCAGCAACTCGCTCTTTCTTGCCGATCCCGAGCTCCGAGGCTTGAAGCCCCAGGCCCGAGGCCCGAGAGCTGCGGAGGAATACGATTTGATTTCGTTTTTCGCTGGAAGAGCCACCGGCAGCCAGCTGACCCACACTGCCCAACACGACGACGACGACGACCACCGGCACCACCCCTACCACAGCACCCTTCTCTCCCTTGCTCCACCTCTGTCATGTCCCACTCGTCTGGCATTTCTGTGGCAGCCTCCCTCGCCGACACCTTCCGTGATGCACGCACAGATGAGAGCAACGTCCGCCTGATCAAGGCTGAGATTCATGACGGTACGCCCATACCCCCTCCCCTTCCCCCGTCGCCCTTGCCCCCTCCAGCTCCCCTTTCGCCCTCCCTCCCCTCCCCTCCCCTCCCCAACGATCACCACCAACACCAGCACACAGCCTCCCTCCCGACCATCCCCCCAACCACTTCCACTCCCTCCCCCCTTCCCCCTCTACTACCACTCCCCCTCCCCCCCCCCCCCCATCGACG